GGGGGGGGGGGGGGGGGCTATCGTCACGGTAGAGTCTAATTTACACCATGGTACTGTGGCGCTGTCAGTTATCTGTTGGTTTTCCAGTCTAGATCCAACCAGCTTTCCAGCATGGTCCACACCTTGCGCGGCTACGACTGCGAAGGGCGGCCGACGTGACCTGTACAATGAACGTCACAGACAGGATGTCCCAACACGCCAGGCGGCGAAGGTATCGCTTCGATCGATGCATCCTTCCATCTGTCCTTTTCCCACCGCGCTGTCGTCACATGCCACGTCACGCTACACCGTTGCGGCGACGGTGGCGGCGGGTCAGGTGGCCATGGAGGCCGAGCTCGTCGCGATAACCCGACAGGTCGGGCTGCTCAAAGAGGGGTACTCCAAGGCCAGAGACAACCTCAGAGCGGAACAATCGGTGAGAGAACGAAACGCAACATTTTCATACCTTGTTCGGTGGATCTGCGGCGGTCCTGTCCACATCGAGAAGCCGTACACATCATGGCGAGATTGTTGTTGTCCTTTCCGTTCTAGACTAGCAAGACGTTGGGGATGTGTAAATGTGGCTTTTGTCGTTTCCAGCTCTGATGTTCCCGTATGTGGTTTTGGTGGGCTGCTGCCCTGTAGAGTCTATCGGTACACGCGTTTGCATGATTTTCCTGTCCTACCTTCCATGTGGATGGCATAATCGAGGCCCTCGCTACTTCGTTCAATAGGTATAGCTACTTCGTTCAATAGGTATCGTCTACGCTTTGGGTGTTCGGTCCACCTGTGCCCCCGCCCCCGCGACGCCCCCACCCCTTGCCCTCGCTGTTCGGCCGTGTGCCGCAGAGCCGACTACTCGGATCGCGCTCGTTCCCAACCCCCCACTGCCCTCACCACCCGTTTCGGACGTCATTTCTCCGCGCACCTAGTAGCCCACTGCGTACCATCGCAACGGTCCAGAGATAGACTAGGTTTGACGCCGCCCCTAAGCGCTCTGTGCTCGTCGTTTCGACGCCGACTTGCCGACCCCAACGCATGTCAACAGGCCCTTGAGACGGCTCGGACCGCCAACCGTCGTCTTCGGGAGGAGGTCAAAGCCTGCACCGAGGAGCTCGCTGCCATCAAGACCCAGCAGGAAGAGGACGCCAGGAGACACAGCCAGAGCTTGGTCGCGGCGACGACTGCCCTCGACGAGGTGCGCACGTTGTCCTGCTGTGCGTCGGGTGTGTGGTCCGCCCGGTGGTGTTTTCGATATGAACCGCGCCGTGGATAATTTCTTTTTAGTCAAACTCTATGTTGTGTTCGACGACAACGTCGGTACTTGATTCCTCATCTTACGACTTCATCGGCCGCGCTGTTTGCGCCTTCAAACGATGACTTTGCCGGCCCACCTTCGACTCCATTGTCGCCATGCTCTCGCTGCTCTGCAAAAGGCGGACGAGGCGAAGAGGAGGCAGGCCGTTGAGCAGCAGATGCTGCTCCGTGGACAACTCCTTAAGACCGGGGAGGTCCAGCGTCAGCTCATGGAGCTTCAGAACGAACTCGTAGGTGAGGGAGGTGTACAGCGGGTGGAATAAGCTCAACGGCCCCAGTTGCTGTTCGTGAGCCTCATTCCGTTTCCGTTGCCCGAAGACCGTCGAATGGATCTCAAAGCAGGATTGTTTCAAGTGAACCCAGTATTGCTCTATCTCGAAGGTGATATGTTTTTTATTTCAAGTCAAATGAGTAGGGCAAGAAAAAACTAAGCGTCTTCCCCCCCCCCATGGTGTATCTCGCAACACATAGTGCGAGAACGCGCTGCCGAACGCCTTCTTGCCGCCGAGCGCCTGGGGCAAGGGTTAACGCGGTGGTGCACCAATAGAAAGGCGTCTGCCTTCTACCGCATCGTGAGCGGGGTAGCCATGGTGGCGGCCGAGAGTGACGTCAGAGAACGCACCCGAAGTGCTCTCAGGGAGGCCGGAGAGGGAGCGCGTAGGGCGCAGAAGGCGGCGGTCGAGGCAAGGGTCATGTCTGTGTTGCCGGGTACCTGATAACGGCAGAATGGAATGCACCTTTGCTTAGATTCTCCTTGGATTGTGGCCTTTTGCGTTGCTTGAGCCTATCGCCTGAAATCCTCTTGGCTATAGAACTGTTCTTTCGTTTTGTTGTTGTTGCTATTCTGCAACACGGAAATTTCGACCACAAAACAAAAGACAAAAGCAACAACAAGGGCACCACCACACTCTGCCACCACCAACACAGGATGCTCGAAGAGCGGTCATGGTGAAGGCTGAAGATGAACTCGCGGAGGCCGAGCGAGGCTTCGCCGAGGAGCGAGACAGGCTGCTGGAGGAAGCCGAAGCCGCGGCGGCGGTTTCCGCGACCCAGGTGCAAACCATCGACGAGCTCAGGGCGCTCGAGACAGGAACGAGGCGTGAGCTCGAGAAAGCCAGGCAAGAAGCGGAACAGCGCGACAGCAGATGATTGGTCTAGTGCTTGTTTCTATTCACGTATCACGTGTTCCTATGGAACTATATTGCCTCGCTTGACATCCTGAGGGAGGCGCGGATGTAGGTTGGATTGCTCCAAGTCGCTCACGTTATTTTTGCGAAACAAGAAAACACCGATCATCAAGGCCGCCGTTATTCTCGACAGAGAGCCAAATCTGGAGAGCATGGTATGGGCAAGTGTTCCCGCCAACAAACTATTCTCTCACAGATTTGCAACCCTGGGAGCAAAACAAGGTCGGCCATGCAAATAGACCGCGTTGTGCTCCCGAGAGTTTTGTAGCCAAAAGACATGGTGTAAGAAAAGAAGAGCCTACACGTGCCGCAACACCACGAGTAGACTATTCAGACCCCAACGATCGTGTGATTTCCCCGACCGTTCTTCTTCTCGTTAGGGCGGATATTAAGGAGAACTCCAAGAGGTACCGAGAGACGTCGGAACGAGCGGCACAGGAGGCGAAACTTCGAACCAAGGAGCGTGTTGAGGTAACGATAGGATGTTCTGGCTGTATCACCAGCCCATGCGGGTAGCCTTGCCACCCAAATTGTACCTTCAACTCTGTGCGTATGGTTGGCACGCAAATGGACAACAATTCCTCGAGCGTTACAACGAATCCAGTTGTTCTTTTGAAGCATTTCTGGGCGGACAACAAGGGACATAACGACACATGGTATCCACTAGTTCAGCAAGTCGGGGGACCAACTGATTGTACCCTCTCCGTGCCGGACTTAGTGTCGCCAGCCTGACTCCTGCAATCCCTACCCCCACGCCGCTCCATCAACATAGTCGGCAGTATTCGGTCCGGAATCTGAAAGCTATTCTTGAACGGCCTCTCTTGCGTCCGCATCCCAATCGACCACCGAAAAAACGTGTCGTCCCCATATGGCCAAAAAGGCGGCGGTCGCCAGCACCAAGGAAGCCTGCGAAAAAGCCAACGCCAAGGCGAAGGAAAAGTCGGACGAAAAGTGGCGGGGTGTGCTGCGCGAGGAGCTAAAAAAGGCAGAGGACGAGGCGGCGGCGGTGGCGGCTGCAGCCAGCAGGGATCACGACGCGCTCCTAGAGGAAACCCAACAGGCGTTCCGCATGTGAGCGCTTGACGGTTGGTCGAATCTCGCTGAGAAGTAGGATAACAAAGATGAAGTAGTGTTTTTCAGTTTGCGTACCGCATGGACAACGTTCCAAGGAAGAATTCCTCAAGTACACTCCTACTAAGAGAGTACCAGCAAAACTAGTGACCGCCGCATCAGAGCGCGGTGCGGTTCGCCAGCACACCACGTCAATGTATCGCGTGGAACGGTAGTAGTCATCTGAATGTGGTTTTGCACATGGTTCCCTCCAGCAAGTCGTAGCAGTAGACGGTAGACAAGCGCAGAATGGTTTGCCGTCAGCACTCTAACGTTGACTGGTCAATCAAGGACAAGTCCAGCCTTTCACTCAAGCATACACTTGAGCCCGATAGACAATAGCCGGTGCACCGGAAGCAAGAGAGCGAACAGCGACAACGAACCCCCCCCCCCGGTGTCCAGGGAGCGAGAACGCCTTCGCGAAGAAGCCGAGCGCCTGGCCTCGGCCGCCACCGAGGCCGAGCGACAGCGGGGCCTCAAGCTCTCGGCCGAGGCGAGGGCCGCCGGCGCCGCCGAAGCCGGCGCCGCTTTCGCGCTGACGCGGGAAAAAGACCTGGCGGAGGCCGAGCGAAAGCGAGAGGAGGCCTTGGAGGAGGCCGCCGGGCGCGCCAAGGAGGCGGAGGCACTGGCGCGCTCCGCGCAGAGGGAGGCGAAGAGGAGGTCGGAGGCGGAGGCGGCGGAAGAGAGGGGGAGGCTGGAGAGGGCGCTGGCGAAGGCGAGGGAGAGGGCGGTGGAGCTGGAGGGGGGCAAGTGGAAGAGGGCGTCGGAGGAGGCGGAGGCGCGCGCGGCCGCGGAGCAGGTGTGGCGGAGGATGAGATGGCGATCAGCCGTGGTGCTCGTTTGTCGTTTGCCTGTGTAGTTTTCCATTGACAAACACGCCATCTGTTTTGAGGCGATAGAGATAGTGGTCGAAACCGCGATGGATGATGCGTTCATCCCAGTTTCAACAACTGCTTGTCCCAAATTGCTTCAAGGGCCGAAGAAGACAACTTTTCGCAAAGTCATCCAATGACCGACTGCTCCTCGAAAGAGGGCTCAAAATGGGTAATTTCTTGCGTGATATTGTCCTCACTATATGAGATGCAAACAGCGACCCGCCGCGAGGCGATGGGATGGGTAAGGCGGCGTTTGTTAGTGTGTCACTGAAACACGTTCGGGCATGTTTGTGGTATTCTCCCCTCTTGACAAGACCGACTCCTCCTGCTTACGTACCTCACCCCCCACGACCATGTAGGCGGCTGCGTACGAGCGAGGTACGGCGGACAGAGGGCGGCAAGCCGAGGCGGAAGCTTTGCAGCTGCAAGACGCAGCGGAGAAAGCCCTCGAGGAGGTGAAGCAGGGCGCCCGGACCACCATCGACGAAATGTCTGCTCGACATTCTGAAGAACTCGAGGCGGAGAGAAAGTAAGCCTTTCCTGGTATTGTTGTTGCTTCCCGCTCTTGTTGGAATTGTAACGTGTTGCCTTGTCCACCAACGCATTTTTAACACCCATGTCATGTGTTTGAGTCGTTTCAACGACTTTCTGAATGACTCTCTGTAGCGCGCGATCACTGTGGCTGAATCTAAAATCGTGAGTGAAACGGTGTGCCTATACCATCTTCGAAGCCTTCAGCTAGTCTGACACCTTCAACAAAAGCTGCTATACACCTGCTGGATAGCTCCGTGATAACCTATTCTCCACACTGGCATACATGTTGGTAACAACTTAACAGCGAGTTCTTTCTCATGGTGGTCGTACTTGTACCTTGAAACGGCATGGTGTGATCATGGCGTGGCAGGCGGGTTTCCGACGAGGAGGCGGTTGCGAGGGAGGCGGCGCTGAAGGCCGCGGGTGAAGAGTTCTCGCAACAGCAAACGAAGGCCGTCGCCAATGTGAGACAAAACTGAGAATTATATTTTCTCGTTGCTTCGTATTCAGAGCACTACAGTGCTACTCTCGCCACCCCCGCGTGTGCCTCTCAAAATTTATTCTACGTCTAAGCCATTTCGCTGCGCTCACCCGTGTTCGACCAGTTGGGGGTGGTACCAGAATGAAAGTCAGTTGCCTACCATGAGTCGTGCCAGTCTTCGTACCCTAATAGGGTAGGTCGCGCTGTGTGGACATTTGCAGAGGAGAGCATACCCCAAAAGCGTTATCTCGTTGCAGAGTTTGCAGGCGAAAAAAAGTGTGTCGCGCTTGATTTGTCCATCAACTTCCATTTCCTCAAAGTAGTGGCCTTCGTAACTTGCGAGGAATGTCACCGCTGCTACTTTGGCAGTCAAACTTTGTTTTCATTCATTCCGATGAAGCTTACCAGGCAGCGCACACAACCATAACGCCTGATTGTATCGCAAAGGCTCGGGCGGCCGCAACGGCGGAGGCGAGAGCGCGCGCCGAGCGGGAACGAGGTTTGGCGGTGAAAGCGGCTAAGGAGAGAGAACGCCTTGCCACGGAGAAAGTTCAGGACGAGCTTCGGAGGTTAGGCCACACCTGTTAGTCGCTATGAATGGTGTCTATAACTCCTATTGCGTATTCTCGTCTTGGGCATCCTCCTTCTTGGTTTGGAGGGCATCACACGTATTCATGTGGGTCGTTGAGTGAAACAGATTTGTAACATGTAGAAGATCAAGATGAAGTAAGTGTCGACCGATGCGGGGAGGCGTGTGAAAACACGACGGCTGGTCATACGTTTATTCCAATTATCACACACACACATGCTGTCGGCGCACAAATGGGACGAGAATGTTAACGCGAGGCCAGCAACAGAGACGGGAAAATATGGCCTTCGAAACGCGGTGGCCCGTTGGAACGGGGCGGGACATAACACCGATGAACATGTAAATGCAACTCGGTAATGCTCAACACTCTTGCCATAACAACCGCAGTTCGAAGACGGAGTGGGCCGCGGAACGTAGGAGGCTAAAGGAGCAGATCACGTTGCTGGAGGAGGCAGAACAGAAGGCTAAGGACAACCTTCTCCGGGCGATGGCCAACAGCAGTCAGGTACAGTCAGTGCTGCTTCTTTTGTTGTTTTGGTCGTCGTCACTCTGTTGTTGTTGTTGTTGTTGTTGTTGTTGTTGTTGTTGTTGTTGTTGTTGTTGTTGTTGTTGTTGTTGTTGTTGTTGTTGTTGTTGTCATTGTCGTCGTCGTCATCGTCGTCGTAATCGTTGCTATTGTCGTCTTGTTGTCGTTGTTGTTGTCGTCGTTGTCGTTGATGATGGTGGCAATGTCGTTCTGCAGCTATTCATGACATTTGGGACCACTTGGTCTGTGTAGTTCGAGTCGAAGTGCGGCGAGACGTAATGATTCTACGCGTACGTGAACTTGAACACGCTGAATAACTCAATACTGGCCGTGTGGAAGGGACGGTGGATGCGAACAGAGTTGGGGCGTCGTAGTAAGGGCACAACTTTAGACGACATCAGGTCGCCAGTAGTGCTGATATCTGGCGAGGACTCAACCATGCAACTTTTGTCTTTCTGCACCCCTACTGTGTTTCCACTGGGCGGCAAAGCCAAACAAGTTCGCCAAAAGGGCATGAACTTTACTTATGCCAATGTCGCATCTGCCGCAACCTGGTATGGCAGCCTATTCGTTCGAGAGACTGCTTTCCGTCTACCGGACAATGCCTTACCAACGTACCTCCTTCTTTTCTCTCCCCCCCTGCCTATTCGGCTCCTGGGGGGCTACATACGAACAAACCGAACGTGGTCTGGTAACGCCCAGGCCACTCAAAAGGCTCGAGCGAGGTGGGAGGAGAGCCAAAAGTCGGCTATGGAGAAGGCGGCGACGGAGGCGGTGGAGGAGCGAGAGAAGGCTCTCGAAGATGCACGCAGGGTGAGTGAAAGGGATGATAAGATAATACAATCTTCAATGAACATCTGTTGGGAGAGGGAAGGTGTCGAGTCGCCCACTGGTGCTGCAGATTAGGACATGCACGTGCACGACACAGGAACCTGCCGTGATTCTTGGTTGCAACCTACAAAACATACTACACCAAGGCCAAGACCAACCACCCTGCCACCCTTTCGTCGCGCAATGCTTGCTTGGACCCTCTGTGCCACAACCAGGCATTCAACCGAGAAAAGAAGCGAGCCCTGCTGGAAAGCCAGGACGCCTTCACGGCCCAGGCGGAGGCCATGGCGGAGAGAATACGAAAACAAGCGAACGTTTCCCTGCAGAAGGTATGACACGGTGGGATAGGATGCAACGAATACCGATGGAAATCCCTGCGATCTCACCACGTAGCCGAGATGGGATAGAAGACGAGAGGACAGGGAGTGGGGTATGGTTCCATGGCATGCGATGCCTTACTGAGTGCCGGAAAAAAGGTGCCCAGGCTTGCTTCAACCGTTGTTGCTCTCCATAAGGGCAGCTCGGCAATCTGATCATGTTGATTTCGCTGCAACAATTAACTGCTCTATGATTGATTCCGCGTCGTCCATGTTACTCAGTTAACGCGCTTACAAGAACGTTATCCTCTCGCCCCCCCCCCCCCGG